GCTTCTTAAAGATCGGATTTGCAGAGTATGACATCTAGTTGCAATAAAAACAGCAAAAAAGAACCATACCATAGAACAGCCTTGAAGGTATAACTAAAAGCTAACTTGTCCATTTCAAAAGTTATCATCTCAAGTTCTAAAATAGAAATACAGCCCTAAACTAAGCTAATTTACTAGGCTTCAGTCTCCAGGCATGCTCCTTTCATTGTATGAACCTGTTTGAAATGTCTACGGACTGTTTTATCGGAAGAGGAACAGGGGCCTCATTACAGAATCCAGCATTCCAAATACAACAACTAACATTTATTGAATGCTTATTGCAAGCTGGGTATTATGCAAAGCACTGTGTGTATATTATCTTATTTCATTCTAACAAAATCCTATTAGACAGATCTGGTATTCCTGTTCTGGAAGCATCCTTCTTATAGCCATCTCTCCTCCAGCTCCAGTATGCACTATTTTTTCTATAGATCTTACACTGTTGTTATTCTGAAAGTTCCCTTCCCCATCATTTGGGGGATCCTCTTTTTTCATCTCCTGTCTTGAATCTCCTGCATCTTCCCTTACTCTGATGTACACCCTTATTTTGGTGGAATATATCCTCTGTTACCTTACTAAGAACACCAGTGTCTGAAAATCTCTTTATTTTATCTTCATTATTAAAGAAGATATTTTGGCTGGGTATCAAATTCAATGTAGGAAGTATTTTTCTCCCATTATTTAAAAGACATTCTCTTGTTTTCAGTTTTGTGTACAATCCGTTTGTGTCTTTCCAGCTCTAAAAGCTTAGAATTTCTTTATATCTGATACCCTGGAATGTCACTGTGATATGCCTTACTGTGCATGTTTTTTCATGGATTTTGCCTAACACTCAGTGGGACCTTTCACTCTCAAAATCATTTGTTTGAATTTAAGGGAAGTTTTTTAAAAAATGCTTCTTTGAAGATAATTTCTTCCCTTTTCTTTTTTCTCTCTGGAATGCCTGTTATTTAGATGTGGACTTAAATTTGTCCTGTAATATCCTTATTTTGGGAATAAGTCTTTTCTTTTGTCTTTTAGTTCTACTTTGTGAGAATTTTTTTAAACTCTATTTTCCAACTCTATATCAAACTTTTGATTTCGGTTATATCTTTAATTCCTGACAGCTCTTTTTTTGTTCTCTAAGTGCTTCTTTTTTCATAACTTCCTATTCTGTTTGACAGATGCTTCATCTTTTACCTCTGAGAATGTTAATTATAGTTTTTCTAAAGGATTTCTCCTGTAGTCTGACATGATTCTGATTCCTCTGACTCACTTCTTTCTGTTTGTTTGGTTTTTTTTTTTGGGGGGGTGAGGGCATTTAAGGCTCTGTTTTTCATGTTACAGACTGTCCTTAAATATTTAGTGGTCCCTAACTGTCCATAATGTATAAGATTCCAATGTTTATTGACTATTGACATGATGCACTGAGAAAAGTCCCAATATTACTTTTATGGTATTCTTGCAAAAAAATGCATAACCTAAATTCAACCATGAAGAAATATTACATGAACCCAAATTGATGGACATTCTATAACTAGACATTATTCTTCATAAGAGTCAAAAACATGAAATACAAAGAGACTGAGGGTACTTTCCAGATTAAAGGACATTAAGGAGACATGATAACTTAGTGCAGTGTGCAATCCTGAATTGGATCCTGGAGTAAAATTAGTGGGATAATTGGTGAGATTTGAATAAGGTCTGTAGAATAGCTAATAACATTCCTGGTTTTTCATACAATTCAATAGTAAACGAACAATCTGATTCAAAAAATGAGCAGAGGATCTGAACAGACATTTTCCCAGACAAAACATACGTATGGCCAACAGACCCTTTGGAAAGATATTCAACACTATTCATCATCAAGGAAGTGCAGATGAATACCACATCATATATCATCACACACCTGTCAGAATGGCTAATATCAAAAAGACAAGAAATAACAAGTGCTGGTGAGGGTGTGTCAGAAAGGAACCCATGCGCTTTGTTAATGGGAATGTAAATTGGTACAACCAATATGGAAAGCAGTATGGAGGTTCCTCAAAAAATTAAAAACAAAATTACCGTATGATCCAGCAATTCCACTGCTGGGTATTTTTCCAAAGAAAATGACAACACTAACTTGAAAGTATATCTGTACCTTCATTGCACTGCAACATTATTTACAATAGCTAAGCTGTGGAAACAACATAAGAGTCCATCAGTGGATGAACAGATAAAGAAGATGGTTTTAACTGTATATATGATTTAAAAAAAAATATATATATATATATGGAATATTATTCAGCAAAAAAGGAATGAAATTTTGCCATTTACAACAACATGGATGAACCCTGAGGGTATTATGCTAAGTGAAACAAGTCAGACAAAGACAAATACCATATGATTTCACTTATTTGTGGAATCTAAAAAACAAAAAACAAACAAACTCTTGGATACAGAGAACAAATTGGTAGTTTCCAGAGGAAGGGGGTGGAGGTGAATGAAATGGGTAAAGGGAGTCAAAAGGTATAAACTTGGGATGCCTGGGTGGCTCAGTTGGTTAAGCAGCTGCCTTCGGCTCAGGTCATGATCCCAGCGTCCTGGGATCGAGTCCCACATCGGGCTCCTTTCTCGTCAGGGAGCCTGCTTCTCCCTCTGCCTCTGCCTGCCATTCTGTCTGCCTGTGCTCACTCTCTCTCCCTCTCTCTCTCTGACAAATAAATAAATAAAATCTTTAAAAAAAAAAAAGGTATAAACACAGTTATAAGATAAATTAGTCATGAGAGTGTAATGTACACCATGGCAACTATAAATAATACTGTATTGTATATTTTAAAGCTGCTAAGGGAGCAAATCTTGTAAGTTCCATCATAAGAGGAAAAAAAATGTATGGTAATAGATGTTAAGTAAACTTATGTAGTGCTTATTTGCGATGTATACAAATATTGATTCACTATGTTGTATAACTGAAAGTAATATAATGTTGTATGTTTATTACACCTTAATTTTAAAAAGGTATGTAGATAGATACATGTAGGAAAACATCTGAAAGAAGTTTATTGAACAGTTAACCCTGCTTCACTCTGGGAACTTGGATTGGAGGGACAAGGTTTTTCATAAGTTACTTTAAATACTTTGATAAATGTTATAGGTGACAGACACTGTTATATACATAGATTTTTATTTTTAACTAAAAACTTAAGAATAAAAGGTTAAATATATGAAAGTGTTACTATTTCCTCTAAAAAAATATTATTCCTGATTTTAATCATTGTGCTATGGTTATGTAAGATGTTAATGTTTGGGGAAGCTGGCTACTTTTTTCTAACAATATTTTTTTCTCCTAGTCTCTCTCTTCCTCCCTCCCCCTTTCTTCCCTCCCCTCTCTTTCTGGCACTCCAGTTACACACATATCAGACTGCATGAGATTTTTCCAGAAGTCTTCTTTATTTTTCACATTGTATAAATTCTATTGGTATATCTTAAAGTTCGTGGAACTTTTCTCCAGTCATATGTTAAGCCCATCTAGTGATCTTTAATTCAGATATTATATTTTTCAATCCTATATATATTTCAAAGTGTACATTTGATTCAATTTTATAGTTTCCATTTCACTACTGAAATTCCCCCTCCATTCATTCATTATGACTTTCTTTTCTTTTTTTTTTAAAGAATTTATTTATTTATTTATTTATTTCTTAGAGAGAGAGAGAGAGAGAGAGTGTGCCGCACAAGCAGGCAGAGTGGCAGGCAGAGGCGGAGAGAGAAGCAGGCTCCCTGCAGAGCAAGGAACCCAATGCGGGACTCAGTCCTAAGACCCTGGGATCATGGCCTGAGCTGAAGGCAGCGGCTTAACCGACTGAGCCACCCAGGTGTCCCATGACTTTATTTTCTGTCTGCTAATTCCAAGATCCAGCTTATATTGTGGCCAATTTCTATTAATGACTTTTTCTTATGATACTGGATCACATTTTTCTGTTTCTTCACATGTTTAGTAACTTTTTATTATATACTGGACAGTGTGTTTGGTAGATGATTGAGACAGTAAATTTTACCATCTTTCCCTGAAGAGTTGTCTTTTGTTCTAGCAATTTGTTAACTTAGCTGAAATCCAAATGCTATCTCAAGACCTTAGGTGAACTTCAACTAAAATCTATGCTCAGTGTTCCAGCTGCTGGCTTTCATATATACAGTTCAGGGATCAGCTAAGAATTTGAGTGGAGTTTATGTATAGATTTCGAGGGACTTCTGTGGCTTCTGTCTTTCAGAGATTGTCCCCCTCACTTTCTAATTAGGGTCTTAACCTCAAACTAGGTCTTCATACTCCTCAAATGAATAAGATGTCATATTTCTGCTTGAGTAATAATCATACCACCGAATGAACTGTCAGGTACTCTGAACTACTATCAGGTAAAAAGCCATAGAAATATGAATCCTACACAATACAGTTTCTTCTTTCAAAGATCAACTCCCCTCAGTTTCCACTTGCTTGTGGTAACTCTGTAGTGCTTTCAAACAGTTTTTATATTTTTTTCAGAGTATATAATTGTTATCTGCAAAAGGATCAGTCTAAAATACTCTCCTGCCATTATCACAAATTGCACCATATTCCCTTTTATTTTCCTTTATCACGTAGGGTTAAACGACAAAAAAAGACTTCTACATTTTTTTGTGAATGATGGCAGTAGCTCATCAATTTTTTTCTTTTCTTTTTTATTTAAAGATTTTATTTATTTATTTGTCAGAGAGAGAGAGAGAGTGTGAGAGCAAGCAGCACAAGAGGGGCGGGGGGGGGGGCAATAGGCTGAGGGAGAAAGTGGCTCCACTCCTTGCTGAGCAGGGAGCCTATTGTGGGACTCAATCCCAGGACCATGGTATCATGACCTGAGCTGAAGGCAGATGCTTAACCGACTGAGCCACCCAGGCGTCCCTCATCAATTTTTTTCTAAATACATTGAGCATATTACTAATCTTATTTTTTCTTCTTTTTCTTGTAGACAAGAGATGATTTCCTAGGTCAAGTCGATGTTCCTCTTTATCCATTACCGGTTAGTATAGATATCCATGATTTTAATATTTTTGTTTATTTTTTTTTCTAATAAATACAGGTGCACAGTATATAGTAAATGTAAATATTTTATTTGTAAAATATATACTGCTATTATTTCTTGAGCATATTACTTTCTGAAAACTCATCTCAATTTTCCATTTTAATTTTATTTCCAAGATTCCCTTATCTGAACCACAGTAAGAAATAGAGAGTTGCTGAGGTTGGTTAATGTTAGGAAAGGATGTCTGAGGAAAATCAGTTTGGAAATATTCTGCTGAATAAGTAGAATGGGGACAGCTTAGTCTCACAGAAAGAACCTAGGACATTTCCAACAATATGTGCGTGAAACTGAATGTGGACCAAGCATATAACACCAATGAAGGAAGATAAGATTCAGGAAACATTTCATAACAAAACACTATTGGGCCAGGTTTCTGACTTGGAGGTTGAGGAAGAAAAATAAACAGAAAGTAATGATAATACAGGTTGAATTTGGGAAGTCATCGAGGTGTCTCAAGTAGAAAAGGTAGGAGGAAAATTTGTTTGAAAAGAGATCAGTTTGGTTTTGGCCATAATGAATTTCAACAGAAAATAGGAAAAATGGAAGCCTAAAGTGGGCAGATGACAGAAATATAAAAAATCAATTGTAGAGGAAAAGGCTGGAAGGATTGAGAGTTACCACATCAAGGTAACGGCAGACTCACTGAGAATGATGGGCTGTCCATGTAAGCAAGATGAGAGCTTCAAAGGCCGGACGTTGAGTCTCGGTCAGTGTGGGTCAATTGGAGGAAAAGACAGACATGGATTAACAGGAGAAAACAAACAAACAAACAATGTCATGAACTTAAGGAAAAGAATTCCAAGACCGAATGGGTAGTTAATGCAAAATGTAAGCGAGAAGTAAAGAGCATTAAAAGTAAAGGGCTGTTGAACTTTTTGTTTTATTATTATTATTGTTATGTTAGGGGAGCTGTTGAACATGATAAGAAAAAGTAATGCTTCTTTACTGTGTCAGTCTTTTGAGATATTTATTGGCTCTCCCTAGTCTTCAGAGATCATAAGCTTTTGATAATATATTTAATCCAGTCTCACTTTCCAAGCCATTGACTTTTTTGTTTTCCTAGAATGGGCTGTATGCTCTAACCACGCCCACTTGCTGACACTGTACAGATTCCATATTCCTTTGGGGCACCAACATGGCTAACCACTCTCCCTTGTTTCCCCTTCTTACCTCCATTGGCTCCTCAGTGCTCCTTCTCAGCTTGTTTGGTACTGAGGTGTGATGCTGCTGCAAGTCCCAGGGTGCAGGAAGGTGGAAGCCCTGTCAAGCTACCCGTTATAACCATTTTATGAGCTAAAGCCACATTTTTCTCACTTCTAACTTCAGTTATGGCTTAGAGCATAGTTCATGCATATTCCTTAAAAGTACATGTTTTTAGTGTTGATAGATATATCTTGAAAACCCACTGTTTGATTCCAGACAGAAAATCCAAGAATGGAGAGACCGTATACATTTAAGGATTTTGTTCTTCACCCGAGAAGGTCAGTAAGTATAAAATAATAACATATTAATTTTTTAAATCTCATTATATCTTATAGTAGCCTCTTTGGAAATTCAAAGTTGAAACCTTTGTAAATAAGCTACTTCTAAATATTATTTTTTAAAAGCTTTACTGTTATTTCTGGTTAAAAAGTAATATATGCACAGCACAAAAAAATTCTGAAAATACGGGGAAGTATTTTTCATACTTCTTAGGAAAGACTTGTCCCCTAATATTTATCAGACTAGAAGGTGGAATTTTGTTACTGTTTTATTTGTTTTTATTTATTTGTTTGATTGATTTATTGTTTTACTTATTTGTTTATATTGTTTTATTTGTTATCTTAAAGTATATGTAATTTTATCATTTTTTATCATTGTTTATCATTTTATCGTTGTTTCATTTATTTGTTTGTTTATATTGTCTTATTTGTTATCTTTAACTGTATGTAATTTTATCATACTGTCCTTTTAAAAATCACAAACGTTAGTTCCACCAAGAGCAATATTCAACTTGACGTACACAAAACCAATTTCAGAAAAACCTAACTACATCTTGCATATATTAGTAAAAAATATTTCGGAAAACTGAAACATTTAGGGAAAATATCATGAGCAAAGACTAAGAATTTAAAACCTAAATACCATGTTCATAATTCCATTTTCCTAAACTGAATTATTTGATTTGGTTTAAAATTTTTAAGTTTAAACTGTAAATAAAACTCCTTTTGATCATTTGTACCACATAGTCAAATAAAATCTAGCGAAGTCACATATGGATTTACTGTCAAAAAAGTCACAGTCAGATTAACGAAGTATATCTGTTCATCTGTACAACAATATTTGCCTTTTTTTAAAACTAGAAAATGCAATTGAAAGACACACTATGGGACCTTAGTAAATTTTTTCATTTAAAGACATGTAATTGGGGCACCAGTGTGGCTCAGGGGGTTAAAGCTTCTGCCTTCAGCTCAGGTCATGATCCCAGGGTCATGGGATCGAGCCCCGCATCAGGCTCTCTGCTCAGTGGGGAGCCTGCTTCCTCCTCTCTCTGCCTGCCTCTCTGCCTACCTGTCATCTCTGTCAAATAAATGAAAATAAAATCTTTAAAAAAAAAAGACATGTAATTACTCTTTGTAATATAAATTATTAAGGCAAGATAAAAGGGACAGTACTCTCTTAATATTTAGTTTCTGCAAGAGATGTTATATATTTAACTGTAGAAGTCTTAGAATATAAATCTCTTTTCCTTCTTTAGTTTTAGAAGGCTTGTGGTATCTGCATACCAAGAATAAATAAATATTTTCTTCTCTTATTTGATTTCCCTAGCAACCTGCTTTTGATTTTGTCACATGCTTTCTAGTATCTTTATCTTTAAAAAATACAATTTACATCTTCCATCTACACTGGATTTCACTGCAAGTGCAGAAAATCTTTAAATCAGTAGAAAATGTACTGCTTTCTTGGATTTTCTGAGCCCCATTAAGTCAAACCCACAGGCTTATTGTTTAGTTGAAAAGATGTGGGGGCACCTGGGTGGCTCAGTTGGTTAAGTGGATGACTGGATTTTGGCTGGGATGATGATCTCAGGGTCCGGAGATCGAGCTCCACATCAGGCTCCCTGCTCAGCATGGAGCCTTGTTTCTCTCCCTCTGCTCCTCCCTGCCATTCTTCCTCCCCCACCCCCTTTATCTCATTCAAATAAATAAATGAAACCTTTTTTAAAAACTCCTGGAACATACCATTATAGAGAAACTCTTGTAAAAACCATTATCTGAGCAAGTTTTCTGTATCCGTCTGTTATGGCAACAAGTCAGTGTTCACTCCCCCTTAAAAAATAGAGACACAAGCCACATCAGTGGCCTTAGAAATAAGCATTGGGGATGCTATTGACCACTCAGGAAAGATCCAGTTTCCAAATTCATGAGAACTGTACAAAGAACACCTAAGAGATTAGGTGGGGTGAGGAAGGGAGTAGCTTTTAAATAAACAATAAAAGATGGGACTTTTTTTTAATCAAGGAAGGAAAGGGGTAATGAGTTACATAGCTGATATCTATAAAAATCACCAAAATATCTATACAGAAAGTGAGGACAAGGAAAGACTTAAGTAAGTAGAATGGTAGAATTGGTGGGGGCCGTACACAGACTTAAAATATTTTCAGTATTAACACCACACACAGCAGCCTTTAGCTTGGACAACTCATTATTGAAAGAGGTGATACAAGATCCATTGTAGAAATCGAGTTGATAAATTAATGTATGATAGATTTGAACAGCTGTCAAAGAAAGACAGCAGGCCTTGCACTCTACTCCTCTGTCATCCTCTACAGTCTAACTAGATTAGTCTCTCCAAAGCATATCTCGGAGAATGCCTCTCCTGATCTCCCACATTTTCTGGCTTCACACTGTGTGCAAAGTAAAATAGACAGCTCTCTTGTTTCACATGGACCTCATCCTCTGGGTCATCCCTCCCTCCTTTGTGTATCCCGTAGGCCAGCCAAGCCGACAGTTGCCATTTCTTTCATTGATCACCTGCTTTCCCATCTGTTTCCTCATTTTTAGTCTTTTCTCTACTCATATACTTTTCCCTTCACTGCCACAGGTCAAAATCCTCCCCATTCTGCTGGCACTCACTCAAATGCAACTGCTCCTTCACCTTTTCCCTGATCTGTCACTCACACTTCCTTAGTATCTTATTTAATGAATAACTTTTATTTATATTTGTTACATTTTCTCCACCACTCACTCCTTTGCCTCTCGATATCTTCTGTCCTTGAGCTTGTCTTTGGGTCTCCTCTCGTAGCTAGTAGGTATTCAGTAAACTCTTGTTAATGGAATGCTTTTCTTCTTAAAGTTTTATGAATAATTATTTTCTTTTCTACAGTCACAAATCAAGAGTTAAAGGTTATCTGAGATTAAAAATGACTTATTTACCTAAAACCAGTGGCTCAGAAGAAGATAACACAGAACAGGCTGAGGAATTAGAGGTGAGATCTTATAAAATATTTGGTTCAATATTTGGTGAAAAGAAAATATCGCATTTCTTATTTTACTATACTTTGAAGAAAAAATAACTTTATTCAATGTGGTTAATGTGTGCAATAAAAATGATTTACATGGACATTTGTTTATTTTACCCATTAAACATTTCTTCCTTTTAAGGACATTTCTGTAGAATGAATAGCCATTATTGATGGTGTTCTTAAAGGTTAGCGAATAGAGAATACAGTGTTTATAAATGAGAGCATTTATTATAATTAAGTCATTAACTTTCTGATTTTTTAGAGTTTTCTGAAACTATGTTCTATTCTCCTCCATAAAGTAAGAATACAATTTGCTATTTGTAAGTTAAATATATGGAAATTTTGAGAAGACTTTACTAATTAGGAACACTTTTATGAAATGTAATTCTGGCTACTCTTCCTCTCATGGCTGGGGTGAGGATGGATGGGCTCAGAGGAAAGGAGGGAATGGGGGAGGGAAAGAATGCAAGTGATCTAATAAAATGCCATATTTATCTGGGACAAATATAATTTAACAATTTTCATGGATGACGGGACAAGTCAAGTATTTGGGCAGAGCTACATGCATCAAGAGTAAGGGAGGAAGAGGCAGAGAGCATGTATTTGGAGTAGAATTGGATGGGGATTTGGAAGCTGGAATTCTTGTCCCAAGCACTGCTACTAGTGAGCCAAGTGACAGTGTGAATTGTTGAAGGTCTCTGAACTGCAGGCTCTTCTTTTGTAGAATGACAGTACTGTACCAGAGGACCTCTTAGGGTTTCTTCTGGCAGAAAAATTCGTGATTTGAAAAGGGGACCCTAAAACACCTGCCTCTTGACATTCCCGCTGAAGCAACATTTACTGAAAGCACACGGTATATTGGCACTAATTAGCTTTGAAGAGTTTTCTTGTGTGTGCCTTCTTCAACAGTCAAGTCTCTTTGGTTGAGGGTCTGATTAAGCTTCCAGAAGAACTGTAAAGGTGAGGGACCTCCCCCAGCACTGGGCAATACCTCACACACCCATATCTTTGAGAAAGAAAGCTTGAGAACAAGCCATGCTTTTGCAACAGAGCTTTCTGGGAATTTGTTAAGTAAGTTCCAACACAGGGCTTGAACTCAACCCTGAGATCAAGACCTGAGCTGAGATCAAGAGTCGGATGCTTAACTGACTGAGCCATCCAGGTGCCCCTCTAGGAATTTCTTATATGCACTATTAAGATTTTACTTTATGTAAGGTTTTATAAGTGAGATAAACATGACACCAGGAGAGGTAGGCACAAGGCAAGATTTATTAAAGGCGTCCTCCAGCAAAGTTTCAGGGCTCAGGAGAAGGGGAGCCAGGAAAGTCACACCGGGAGGAAGTGGGCACCCTCGGGAGAGGTTCCACGACTCTGGAAAGCGGAGTCAGGGAAGTTGCACTGGGAGGGGGTTGGTGGGGATCTTTTATGGGGCCAAGGCAGGGTATGGGCTCACATCCATATATGGTAGGGTATTTGGTGATTGGAGGATATGGGGTGGGGAGTCCTGATACTTCTGTTTCCTGCATAGGTATCGGGTTACCTGTGGAGACATGACCTGGGCATACATCCTTTTGGTGGGAGAGTCAAGGTTTGAGGAAGGGGGGGAGGGGACTGGAAGATGGCAGCCCCGGGGGTCATTTCTATTGTTCCTCCTGCATTCCCGGAGCCACCCACCCAACACTTTATGGGGAAATACATAATAATAGAAGGAAAGAACTTTTTTTTAAAATCACAGAATATAGTTAGCCCTTAGTTTGGCAATCAGAAACCGTGGTATTATCCTTTCTTAAGTCTATATTTGCTTATTTGATTATATTTTCTTTTTTTTTTTTGTTTTTCTCTGATTTCTGCTTTATCATATAATAATCGCTTTAAAAAATTTTAGATATTTATGGGTCGAAGTTTCTCCGCCTGGCATTTTGGTGCACAGGGTATCTTGCATAATGGAATTCTGTTTGAAATGAAGGATGCCTGCCATAAAGAAAGAAAATTCTTTATTTAGTAACTAAAAAAAAAGTTAACAGTATTTCATTATTTAGGAACCTGCTCCAAGTTTTGCCCCCACACACATGTTATAGGTACCTCATTCACAGTTCAGTTTTTGTGGGTAGAGTTGCTTCACTTCATTTTGTGGTCTCAGGTCTCAATGTTTGCATTCCCTCAGAATGCAGCTTATAATTTTAGTAGTTGTAAGCATGTAGGAGTTTACTTATGAAAGGCCCTAGGAGTGCAAACACATGAATCTATGCTTTTTATCTTCAGTGTAGCTAATGACCAGAGAAGTCTTGTCTTTGACATCCAGTTTGTAACTGATATATAAAACCCTACTCTTTAAAGAAAACAATTGTCATTTCCAAAAGAGACTCACTCAGAGGCAACCTGTATTTCTTAGTATGTCAAAGTCTGGCTATCATAAGTTATTTATTTTTTTTTTAATATTTTATTTATTTATTTGACAGACAGAGATCACAAGTAGGCAGAGAGGCAGGCAGAGAGAGAGAGAAGGGGAAGCAGGCTCCCCGCTGAGCAGAGAGCCTGATCCGGGGCTCGATCCCAGGACCCTGGGATCATGACCTGAGCCGAAGGCAGAGGCTTTAACCCACTGAGCCACCCAGGAGCCCCTATCATAAGTTATTATTTAACATTTGATTTTTGTACCCTTTGCAACTTTAGATTTAGTTGTATATATTTTGTAAGACTACCATTAATGTGTATTGTAGCTCTGAATGCTTTCTTTCTGTTCCTCTTTGTTTGACTCCATTAAGTTGTTGGCACTTGCATACTACAAGTTAGAAATTAAATAACATTCATCGATACTTAGAAAATTATTTTGTGAAGAATATTAGCTGATATATGTCTCATAGGGAGGCATTCTATTAAAAAAATGAAAGCTCAGTTTTTCTAAGCAATATTCAAAAGTACAACTGTACTTTCCAGAACTTGAAACAGGTTTTAAAAATTAGGCCTCTAATTAAATTAGTTTTTACCCTTCTCAAGTTTACCTAGATAGCATGCATTCACCAAGGAGACCTTTAAGAGAGAAATTTTTAAGAAGATTTTAAAGAAATAGTCTTGTGGTACCATTTTCCTAGCTCTAACCATTTTTATAATCCTTTACAGCAATAGTAAGGACCCTCTTACTAATAAATTTTACTAATCTACAGAAAAATTATCAATGACCATAGTTTTAAAAACTTGACCGTTTTTCAGGAGAGTGGAATATAAAAATTCAACTCACATACTTTTAAAATCGAGACCAGAGAAATAACATTTGATTTAATATACACAAGACTAATTTTTAAGTATGTAGATCCTACATTATGATCATTTAAAGGAATGGAAAGGAGAGAGAGAAGGAAGGTAAACATGGCTGGTTAGAGAAAGTAAGAGGATACAGGAAAAGGAGAGAAATAGAGCAATAAAAGAAAGCAAAATTAAAGAGATGTCAGTTCTGTAGAAAAGTTTGTAAAAAGGAAAAAAATAAGAGTAAGAAAGAAAGGGAGTGAATTTACTTCCCATCCAGATTCCTTTTTCCAGAATTCTTTGTCTTTTCTCTCACCCTTCCCCCCTCCACCGACCTCACCTTCTGTCCTCAGTCTAAAACTGATAACTGATAACCCTCCCAACAGACCAGCCAGAGACATCAGCCTTGCTGCAGAAACCACTGTCCTGTTCTCTAGGCTGCTAGAAATATTCTCTTCCTTTCCAGCTCTTCTCCCTGACCCTCTCTTTTCAGAGTTAACCTTCCAACATAAAAGAATTCTCTTCCACCTTCTAAGGCATCAACTGGCTGGCACACACAACTGTCCTTCAGCACTAGATCCCCACCCAGTGCCTCGAAAGAAAGTCTGTATATATTACATTATATTACATTACTTTTTTGCCTGTTATTATGGTACCAAATATTTTTCCCATTTTGTCATTTTTTTCCCCACTTTGATTTGATAGTTTTTGCCATGTACAAATTTGGAGGTTTTATAATCAAATTTATCAGTCTTCTCTTTCATACTTAGCAGCTTGCCCAGTCTTGGAACATAGTTTTTAAATCTCAAGTTTTGTTGTCATACATGTTGGTTTTACTTTGTAGCATTTAGGCATTGTTCAATCTGTAACATCCTGGTAGAAGGTATGAGGCAGCACCCTACATAATTTTTTTTTTTTTATTTTCCCACAAATTTGAACTGAAGTACTATAAATTTGAGTCTTTCTGGGCTTTCCGATTCATTGTGTTGAACCGTCTGTCTGTGTGTGCAGTGGAGTATAATATATTTTACTCAGTAGGGTTATTCATTATTCTGTTTTTAGAACTGTGCTGGTTATTCTTGCTTGTTTGTGTGTCTATTTGAACTTGAGAATTGCCCATTATTTATAAAAATCTGTAATATAGGGGTGCTAGGGTGGCTCAGTCAGTTAAGCGTCCAACTCTTGATCTCAGCCCAGATCTTGATCTCAGGGTTGTGAATTCAAGCCCCAAGTTGGACTCCATGCGCGGCCTGGAGCTTACTTAAAAAAAAAAAAAAAAAAAATCTGTAATGTAGTTTTATCTAATTTCTTGGCCACTATACATATTGACTTGGGGAGAATTGACACCTTTGTTAAGACCGAGTCTTCTATCCAAGATCATATTATGTCTTTTCATTCATCCAGTTCTCTTTTTATGTCTCTTTAGAAGAATTTTTAAGTTTTCTTCACTCATTTATTTCAGCTTTCCTAGCCGTATTGGTATTTAGTAGGACCTTTTACTGTTGCCTTTTCTGTTAGGAAGTTTCTTATGTAAAAACATGCCATGAGCTCTTGCTACCCTTCCAAGTAATTCCTTGCCCTAACTACCCTAGTTTAAGCTTCATGTACCTATGCCCCTCACTAGTATTAGAGGAAATTTCTAATGCCTTCCTGGCACTTAAAACAAATGAAATTTTATTTCTTTGACTATTTTATGACCTGATCAAAATGCCTTTCCATGATCCAGAAAGAGAAAAGTCAGATGTGAGAATCCTAATGGCTTTTCAGTTGCTAGAGAGTTCTCGTAGCGATTATTTCTAAATCCTTTGCCTTTCCCTGTCGTGCCCAGACATATTTGGGCTTCATCTAATGTCTTTTTTTCAGGTCTCAGATAGTTACTGATTTCTACCATAACAAGGTGCTTTCTCTGTGGGAAAGACAGTACCCAATAAGACACAATTCTTGTCCTTCATTCATTTGCTTATAATTTAGAGAATAGCCCAAGGTTACATGAGTTTAAACTGTGTTTCTCAGTGCTTTCCATCATTGCTTGTTTATTTAAAATGTTTGCTGTCCTGGGGCAACTGGCTGGCCCCGTAGGTGGAGCCGGAGACTTGATTTTGGGATTGCAAATTCAAGACCCACTTTGGGTACCGAGACTACGAAAGACTTTTTCCTTTTAAAACCTTTTTGAAAAAATGTTAAAGGTTTCAAGCAAATTTAAGTGTTATCATTTTGCAGGGAAAAAAAATCTTTATTATCATAAAATGTTTATATGATGATCTTAAAGGTTGACACTGTGCAAATTCTTCCTTGCATAATTTCTGGAACTGGATATGGTAAATCTCTTTTTAAATTTCCTCCAGCATAATTCATAAGGTTAAAAAAAAAATCAAGCATAAACTTAATTGTTACCACTCTGTTTTTCAGCCTGGCTGGGTTGTTTTGGACCAACCAGATGCTGCTTGCCATTTGCAGCAGCAACAAGAACCTTCTCCTCTACCTCCAGGATGGGAAGAGAGGCAGGATATTCTTGGAAGGACCTACTATGTAAACCATGAATCTAGAAGAACACAGTGGAAAAGACCAACCCCTCAGTATGTGCTGGTGGCTTTCACATTTGTGATCTGAATACATTTTGACCACAAATTTTCATTCTGAGGTTGTGTCTCAAATGGATTCATAGTAGTGTAGAGATCTATAAACTATAAAAATGTAAGGAGGATTTTTATGATCCAGGGCTTTAAAAATGCCATCTTAACGGTTTCTTTTTAAAAATGATTTGATAATATTCAAAATCATTTGAGTCATAAATGTCACCCTCTAATTGCTTCATTTTCAATCGTTTTGTAGCCACAAAAAGATATGTTTTGTCTTTAGACTGATTTAAAAAATCTTGGAAATTTTTTGTAGTTTGTTACTAAAACATAATAAAATGTTAATTTCTACAGTAGACTATTTTTAAATATAAATTACTTGTAAAATGTAAAGGACTAAATAACAAGGGTCTTTTGTTTTTGCCAATCTGGTCAATGCATACATCGTTTCCAATGCACACAGATCAAGAATAGAATGATCTTTGGGGTATTCTAATTTATGTCTTCTCAGTGACCTTTTTCTTTTATTATCATCAGACTGTATATTTATAAATATACATTTACACATGTCCCATTACTCACATTTATTATCAAATACCCTTCCATTTCTCCTCCGTTATGGCCTTATGAAAGCTTTATTGGTCTTCTGCTTTTTGACAGACACTTAAAATTTTTCATATTCGTCCATTAATTTCTAACTTTTGGCTTTTTATTTTGTGTCTGATACAGTCCAAGCACTTTTGTAGATATTTTCTGATCTCAGATCTTTCCAGAGCAAATCAGTGATCCTGCTTCTTCATGGCACAGAGGCATCAATCTCTGTAGGGACCTGTACAGATCATAAAACTGAAGACACTAAGAAATTCTACAAAATTTCCTATTGCAGAGCTCAGTATTATAGCAAGCCTAACTTGAACGGAATCACATTTCTTTCACTATGGTTGATATCACGTTCAGATAGCCTAAATCAGGTATTTACGGAAAGAAAAGTTTGAAACATTCCATTAGAATCATCTGTCAAAATTGTGCTTTCTTTAGCAGTAGCACATTAAGAATTGACCTTCCAACTACGCTGGGCTTATATGGCATTAAATAAATTATCAATAATTTTGTTATTAAATATTTGTATAAAATTCTTGATCTGATGGCCTGCTTATATTAAATGCAAATAGCTAGAATAATATAATAAACAGGGTAATGGGGTTCAGTCTGATTTACTATAATGTGCCTAAACTCAGACATGTTTTTACTATTACCTTTTTTCAGGCCAGGCCTATTTCTGTTAATGATCAAAAACAGATACTATTTAATCTGGGATCTATTAAGTTTCTAATTACAATGTTTCTCACATGATATTTCATTTTGCTCTCTGAATTCATGCATGGGGAACTCTACTCGGCTTAAGATCAATTGCAGAAAACATTACTCTCTGGTTCTTGAAGCTGTATATGTAGCTCCTGAAACTTCTTTTTTATAATCTCTCTAGAGCTACCTTAGATTTTACTCATATTGTAATAAGGCAAAATAATAACATAATGAAATTATTTATGAAATTCTCAGAAATGCATTTATTCAACAAGTATTTTTGAGTGCCCTAACATGTCAAACAGTATTGTAGGCATGGTGGTGAACTAAAATATCAAAGTCAGACGTGTTATACATTTTCACAAAACCTTCATTGCATGAGGTACTCCAAAGATACCAATGTGCCCATGACTTCATCTGTATATGTTGAAATAGCCTTTGGCCAAAACCAGTGAATTCTGATCTAAGATATTTTTTTAAATGATCACAGCCTCTTTGACGGTCATTTTAACGATCTTCAGACACAGGTGACGGTTCTTCTGTTCCTAATCCAGGGATAACCTAACGGATGCTGAGAATGGGAACATGCAACTGCAAGCCCAGCGTGCGTTTACCACCAGGCGGCAGATATCTGAGGAGACGGAGAGTGTGGATAATCGAGAGTCTTCCGAGGTAGAAAGATTTTTCTTGTTCTTGTCCATAGACACATGCTACAGCAATAGATTAAAGTATGTGTGGCTTAAGATTCTTCTGTTTGTTTTAGAACTGGGAAATTATAAGAGAAGATGAAGCCACCATGTATAGCAATCAGGCCTTTCCATCACCTCTGGCATCAAATAACTTGGATGTTCAGACTCCTCTTGCAGAAGAATTGAATGCCAGACTCACAATTTGTAGAAATTCAGCCTCCGGCCAGCCAGTATCCAGCTCAGTAAGATGCTCTTAGATTTTGCTGTAGCTTCAGGATTTTATAATATATGTATTATTTCACTGGGTATCCAACATTTATAGGAAATTTTGTCTTTTATCCCTGGTTTTATTGAGATGTAATTGACAGAGCACATTGGATTGGTTTAAGGTATGCAACATAATGATGTGACATACATGTAGATTATAGCAAAATTATAACCACACTAAGTCCATTTAACATTTATCCCCCTCACAGAGCTGCAATTTTTTTTTCTTCTAATGAGAGAAAAATTTTGTCTTAAATGGCATGTAACAATGTATTAGGGACTTCAGGACTTTATGGTACAGTCATTTTTAAAAATATCTCCACTCGTAGTATGGAGCAGAATCATGGATAACCCACATGGTCATTAGAGTCTAAACAGCCATTACATAAACCAGTGCCTTCCAGCCAAAGACCCCCAGGAACATACCTGTCATTAAACATGTTGGGTTTGTTACTCATTCAGCAAGGAGAACATATACTATGAGTGTCCTAGTAAGAGTATGTTAGAAAAGACTTGAAGGATTTGGGTTCATGTTAGGCAACTTTGAGGAGGGTTTAAGGAAGCAAGTGTGTGGAGCGCCTGGGTGGATCAGCTGGTTAAGCGTCTGACTCTTGACTTCAGGTCTTAATCTCTGGTTCTGGGTTCAGGCCCCGTATTGGGCCCCATCCTGGGTGTGGACCCTACTTAAAAGGAAAAAAAAAAAAAAGCAGGGATGATTCTGTGATTGGGTGTCTCAAATCTTATGTATATCAAGGCTAAAGTTGTAATTAGTAAAAAAGCAGTAGTCACTCAGATTTTCCAGGATGGAGAGATACTGTTATTTTGTGGCTTGGACAGTGTTCACATTTTCCTTGTGTGGCAGGATGACAACGTGGTCTTGATTTGGTGTTGATCTGACTGATGAGTAACAGGGCAAGTCCTGTGTGTCTGGGGCTACTTTGTTCCTCCTCAGTTACACCACACCTGTCACCAGCACACATGTGTGAATAAGAGCTGATGTACTTGGACTAAACAGGGAAGTAGATGGCATTCAATGAAATACTATGCAGCCATGAAAAGAGTGAAGTGACTTAGGGGTTGTTTTTTTTTTTTTTTTTTAAGATTTTATTTATTTATTTATTTGAGAGAGAGTGCAAGAGAGAGAGCACAAGGTAGGGGTGAGAAGCAGAGGGAGAGGGGCATGAAGCTCAATCCCAGGACCCTGAGATCATGACTGAAGGCAGGTGCTTAACCGACTGAGCCACCCAGGTGCCCCTGTACCTTCTGAATATCATACCGTGTGCTTTTTAATTTAAAAAATAATTTATTATTTTTAAAGTATTGTATGATCATGGTTAAAAATTCAAGCAGTATTAAAATAAATTCAAGCAGTATATAAAATAAAAATTCAATCTTCTGTCTTATCTCTAACATACGCTTCCTCAATTGCTATTCATAATTTGGCACATATTGTCCTAAACATTTTTTTTAAAGATTTTATTTTTATTTATTTACTTGACAGAGAGAGCAAGAGAGGGAACGCAAGCAAAGGGAACTGGAGAGTGAGAATCAGGTTCCCTATTGAGCAGGGAGCCTGATGCAGGGCTTGATCCCAGGATGCTGGGATCATGACCTGAGCCAAAGGCAGATGCTCAACAACTGAGCCACCCAGGCTCCCCATGTCCTAATGTTTTCTATATATTTCTAAACATGTATGCACACACATACATTTGTATATAATTTTTTTAACCTCAGATCATCTTTTGGTAACTTAACTCTTTTCACTTGTATCCTACATGTTGGACCATTTCAGTACATATAGATGTCCTCCTTTAAAACCAACAAAGAAAAACCGTCAAACATCATTCTGTTGTGCAAGTAATCCTTAAGATATCTCACCAGTCTCCTACTGATAGACTTTAGATTGTTTACAGTTCTTTGTTACTATAAATAATACTACAGTAGATATTTTGACTTAATTTATATGTATATGTTTTTGGTTTTGTTATTTAATAACATAAAAAAATTGGTTAGTGATGACAGCATGCTTATAAAAGCACAGGGAAAAGGAGAGGAGACTTCTGGGGGACGAGTCATCTAGAATGTCCAGAGGGTGAGTGTTGAGGTGGGAAGTGCTGGAGCTGTGAGGAGTGGCCCAGTCCGGGAGCTCCTAGGCTCTGGGCAGTGGATTTCATTCTGTGACCCTGGTGACGGTGAGAGCTCACAGAAGGCTCTGCACTCCAGAACGGTGTGACCGGGTCTGACTGTGGAGCGCTCCCTGGCCACAGCGTGCCCCATGGAGGGTGGCTTTAAGGAAATCAGACTTGAAGCAGGGAAATCTGCAAGGAGGTTGCTGCCCTAACAGGCAAAGCAACAAATGATGAAAACTTGAAATTAAAAAAAAAAAAAAAAGACAACAGAAAACAACAACAAAAAACCCAACTTGAACTAAAGTGCAAGGAGAACATAGTTGAGAGCTAGGAAAGAAACGGAATGAGGAAGATCTGGTGACCGCCCTGCCTTTAAGGGACAGGAGGGGAGTCGGGGATGGACCTGACGGGAGCCGCTGCTGGACTCCAGCTCAGCCCCCCAAAACAAGGAATACCCGTCAGGGAGCAGGATGGAGTGGGTGTGGACAGGGGAAAGCCGAACCCAGTTTGGGGCACAATGAGGGGTATCCATTAGACATTCAAGAGAAAGTGTCCGGGGGGCTGCTAAGAGCCAGGGCGGAAGAGTGAGCCCCTGGGTGGAAGGTGCTGGCACACCGGGGTGTGGAGAGCAGCTGAGTGCCCCTCCACGGTCACTCTTCCTCCCGCCCCATCAATCCCACCCCCATGGCCTTATCTGCCACTCAGACATAAATCAAAAACCTAAACCTATTGTCGCTCTTTTTTTTTTTTTTAAATAAGAATCATTCCAGCAGAAGAGGCAGCTTACAAGCCTATACTTTTGAGGAACAGCCTACACTTCCTGTGGTGAGTTTTATCCTCTCCCCTCATTGTCAGTAAAAACAGGAAACTCAAGACTTTTTTTTTTTTTTTGAACACTGAATACAAACATTTGCCTGGCAGTGAGCCAATCCAGCACAGAATCTGGGTTCTTGGAGATGAACTTCAGGGGAAGAGGGAATGGGGTAGATAGGCTGGGGAGTAGCTAGGCTGGGGAGTAGCTGGGCCGGGGAGTAGCTGGGCTGGGGAGTAGCTGGGACAGGGAAAGCGTGTCGCCTGTTGTAAGAAAGCAAGGCCTCTGCCCCGGTGACTGTGGGCCATACATGGGCTTGTCTGCTGAGGTCCTATGCTGGCTGGAGATGGTGCTGTCCAGCAGCCTCAGCTCTGTACGCTGGCCCCTGGCATCGAGCAGCAGTATCTGCTCCATACATGAGGGGACTCAGTCCCCTGGGCAGGTGTGTTTTCTGGTGTTGGCAAGCTCAGGGGCCAGGTTGGATGGAGTTCTGCTCTCTCTTCCCTTCAGAATCATGTCCACATCCACTGAGGCCTTCTGCCTCCTTCTCAGTAGGGTTTCCAGCCGCAGCCTTGACTGGGGCTCAGACCTTAGCAGCCTCATGCCTGGACTCTTGACTTGCTTTTGGTTTCCACCCTCCTCTCTTCCTGATGTAACTCTCATGACTTTGAGTTTATCTCTCCTTTACGCAGCCCAGACTTGTGTCTTACTCCCAGGCTCCCAGCCCCTTCAGCCTACCCTCCTCCTCACCCACCCACAGGACCCTCCTGCTGTCTTCCCCCCATCCCTGCTTTTTCTTCCAAACAGGCTGTCCCCTTATCTGACTGTCTCCCTCCTCTGGCTCTATGTGCACGCCATTTCCCCAGGGAGAATGCCTCCTCACCTTTTTTCACCATTTGTAAGTTTGAATGGCAGTCTGTGCATTATTTTTTAAAAGTGAGGATTAGTTTTTGCTTTTATGAAAGTTTCACATAGAGATGCAGGGGCTCAGAATTCCTTGAACCAATTGTGGCTCCTCCCTCTAAAAAAATGGTGCTGTACCAAGAGAGGGACACAGTCCTGTGCTGAGAAAGGAGGGGGCAACCCACCTGTGCCATTGGCCTTGCGAGGCTGCAAGAGAGGAGATGGCATGGAAAGACGGCCCTCACCGTCCTTTCTCTTCTGGTTGCACTTGCCTGGCCTCCTCCATTAGGCTGGAGCCTGCTTAAGCAGAGATCTGTGGTTTTCTCCTACTGTGCTTTAGAATGTCCTCATACAAGGAAAATGTCACATTTTGGATTGACTTTCAGGCATTTATCCAAGAAGCAATTTTAAGTACACCAGATGAACACCAGAATCTAGAGATGATTTGTATTCATCTGTATATTACATGCACTTTAGTTTTTCTATGTACTGGAAAAGTTATTTCCATACCCTTTTCTTCTCAATACATTGATTAGGTTTTTTTAACAGTTTTCTTTGAGGCGTCATTTACATACTATAAAACCCCTTCATTTTTATGGGTACAAATAATGAATTTTAATAACTATATATAGTTGAGCAAACATCACCACAATCAAGTCTAAGAACCCTTCAACCCTCCCAGAAAACTCCCTCCATCCAAGCACCTACTTTCAGCCCCAGGGGACCACTAATCTGCCTTCTAGAAGTTTCTAGAAGTTTCATGTAAGTGGAACTATACAGGGTTGCAGTTTGATGTATCTGGCTCCTCTCACTTCATATAACGTTTTTAGGATTTAACCATGCTGGTGCACGTCTCAGTAGTTGATGATATTCTGTTGTGTAGATGTATCAACTCTATTTCTTTTATCTACTCACAGCTGTTGGGTGTCTGTAAAGTGGGGCAGCTTTAGTTCCATTATTTTGTAGACCAACAGTGCATCCTCTGTCAGCAATGGGCATCTACCCCTGTGTGTCTAGGGACAGTGTAGCTGGTGAACAGACCAGGGGTGCTGGTTTTTATGTGTAAGACACGATGGGGAAACAGGCCAGACCTGGAGGAGTCTAATCTGGTTCAAAAGACGGAAGGAAGACCAAACCTCGACTATTTTAAGTAAACGTGGAAATAACCAGACCTCTTTGTTCATTAGTAATAAATTCACAAGTAGCAACTCCCCAGCCCTTACAGAAGGAAGGCAGGGCTAACTTTTGACTCAGCACATACAGGTGATGAATTCTGTGGTTAGACCGCCTGGCTCAGGTCTCATCTCTGTAGCTCTACATTAGCAATGAATCTGTTGGGCGATTACCCCAATTTTCTAAGCTTTAGTCTCCTTGTGAATAAACATGGGCTAGTAATAGCAATGATTGCATTAAGATTGCATTAAGATGGAGGTTAAATGACATAATCTATGTGAAAACATTTAGTGTGTGGTTATTATTACTGTCATGTTTTATTCATGTTGGTATTGCTCGCATCATTATGGTCTGTTCTGGTTTTTTTAAGTGGAATGTGGTACACTTCATTTCATACACCTCAAAATATGATGTAAAAGTCTCTTCCTTTTATTTATTTTTTTAATTTATTTTTTTTCAGTGTTCCAAGATTCATTGTTTATGCACCACACCCCGTGCTCCATGCAATCTGTGCCCTCCTTAATACCTACCATCAGGCTTACCCAACCTCCCATCCCTCTCCCCTCCAAAATCCTCAGTTTCTTTCTCAGAGTCCACAGTCTCTCATGGTTTCTCTCCCCCTCTGATCTCCCCCAACTCACTTCTCTTTCTTTTAAAGAGAGAGGGCAGTGAAAAGGGGAGGTGGTCCTTTTAAAACAATTGTTTCTTATTCGTATTCAGTTTTCCTGTTATTCTTCACTTCAGCTTTTGCCTACTTCATCTGGATTACCACCAGGTTGGGAAGAAAAACAAGATGAAAGAGGAAGATCATATTATGTGGATCACAATTCCAGAACTACAACCTGGACGAAGCCCGTGGTACAGGTACCATGCAGTCTACCTGTTAACTTACCTTCTTATGCAATGTACTCCATCGTATTCCTCTGGGAGCTAGTACAGCTATTTTGTGCTATACACAGGCTGTGGCTAGCATCTTCTAATCGTTTGCTGACCTTGGGGCTCGCATCTCCTACAGATCTCTCATATGCATGATTACCACTTGCTATCATGTAAAACAAGTCCAACTGGGAATAACAGGATGGAGCAAATAATCTGGTCCATTGGGGGTTTTTTTGTTATTTGAATGGTTAAGATCATTATTTCACTGAAAGATAATCTTAGTGATTAAGATCTGTTAAAGAAATTTGCCACAATGACACCTTGTCCTTGGCGACAGCAAGTGCCTTTTGCGACATTTCCTTGGAAGTGTCTAGGAGAATGTTTAATTTATTTTATCACTGTTTCTCTGACTGAGAAATTTTTTTAACACTGGAAAGTATAGAGAACAATACAGCAAATACCCATCTTCTTAACACCCAGAATTTACCACCAGTAACAAATATTACCGTATTTGTTTCTAGACATTTTATTTAAAAAAAATAAAATCTTACAGGAGCACCCGGGTGGCTCAGTCAGATAAGTGTCTAACTTCAGCTCATGTCATGATCTCTGGGTCCTGGGATGGAGCCCCTTCCCCCCCCCAACTGGGCTCCCCAACTGGGCTCCCCACTCAGCAGGGAGTCTGGTTTTCCCTCTGCTCCTTCCCCCACTTATGCTCTCTCTGTCTCTCTCTCAAATAAATAAAATCTCTAAAAAATATAAAAAAATAAAATCGTACAGATAAAACTAAATTCCTTTTAGCCAAGCACTTGCTTCCACTACCCAGAAAGAAGCACCATCTTAAGTCTGTTGGGTAGTCTTCCAGTCTTTTTTTTTTTTTTTTTTCTTTAACAACTGAAACTTATTTCTCACAGTTGTGCGGGCTGGAAGGCTGAGCTCAAAGGGCAGCATTTTGGGTCCTGGTGAGGGCCCTCTTCTGGCCTGCCGATTTCCGTCTTCTCGCAGTGACCTCCCACGGTTCTTCCAGGCTCTTTTATACACTTACATAGAGAGCTAAAACGATGCAGATGAGTGTTTATGTTCCTATGTTTCAAATTTTGCAAAGATGCCATGTTATATAATTCTAAATCTTTTTTTTTTTTGGTGCAACATTGTTTTAAAATCCTATCCATGTTGTCTCATATATGGATCCAGTGTGTTTCTTTTAACCACTGCCTAACATTTCATCAAATGAATATATTACATTTCAAGGATCCATTTCTGCAGTGGCTGTTGGTCACACATTTTGTTTGCCCAACATCGGCAGTCTCTTCTGCGTGTGGAGAACTTCGCACTCTGTGCATGTTTGGGGCAAGCAGAGACCGCCTCCTCCAACTGGCACTGTGGCTGACCTTGCCGCTGGCACACGGTCACTGACTTCGCCGCCTCCGTCCGGGGCATCTGCAGCCAACTTGAACTGTTAGCCAGCATCGTACCGCTCACAAATTAGCTGAGAAATAAGCTGAGAAGGTTCTTTTCAAAACAAAGTTTGACAAAACACTATTAGAAAAATGAATCTGCCTGTTGAGATCTATTTAGAAGGATGTGTTCTGTTTGCAGGTTAAGCTGCCTTTTAACCACTGCTCTTTGTGTGTTCTCTATAAAACATGACAACGTGACTTACTCCACGTGCTAGGCCACAGCGGAGAGCAGTCAGCTGCCATCAGGCCAGAGTTCAGCGTGCCCTCGACCCCAGGTCCCCACCAGCGACTCAATGCAGCAGGTGACCCAGCCGTCTGAAATGGAGCAAGGATTCCTTCCTAAAGGCTGGGAAGTCCGGCATGCACCCAATGGGAGGCCTTTCTTTATTGACCACAACACCAAAACCACTACCTGGGTAACTTTAATACTCTCCTGTTTGAATTTAGAGCAATGATCTTGACTCTTAAGAGTTCCCTATAACCCTTAAATGTACATTCATATAACCTACATGTCCATGTATTCATTTAAAGAGATGCTTAATTCTTAACAGTATTATTTCTACTCAAGAAATATTTATGCCTATTTGTAATATTTTCAGGGATTGTCATGAAAGTACATTTACTTCCTATTTCATTTTTAACTCACTAGACATAAAACCTTAGGAAGATATTTGTAATAGTCTTTTACCTTTATATGTCACTTTGTAGTTCCAAAGTACTTTTGAATCCATATCTCATTTAATACCCAGAAAACCTTGGGGAGGCTAGGTAAAGTAGTATTTTAAGATAAGCCCTAAAGCTGTTTAGCAGTTGGTTTGCCACTAATAGAAAAGTTACTGAAAGTCAGCAACAGATGGCTAGATTTTGATTAATTAATTTATTTAAAAGACAAAAATACCTTAATAAAACTAAAATGTTTTAGTAAATTATTTAACAAAGTAATATTAAAATAATAATATACATAAGTGAATCCAAACAAATTGAATTTTGTCCTTTTTTTCCCCAACAATTTGAATTGGCTTTTATAACCTTTTTGAGCTTACCTCCCTAGCTTTACAAAATGTTAATAAATCAACACCTTAACAGATAAGTGCCAAAAAGCATGCTCAAGGCCTCAGAAATAGCACGTGGTCTAGTTTAATGTCCATTCATTTAGCAGTTTTTAGTTAGAGAACAGCCCTATATAGTGACACAATCCCTGAAGAGTGGGGCAAAATTCTCTGAATGGTTTCTGTGAAGCAGATGATGAGTTTAAACTGATCGTACTCTGAGATCTGAGAAATGAATATTGTAGCTTGGGAATGATGGGTTTTAGACAGAGAAACTATTATTTCGCAGATGAAGCACATAAAATAAAAGTAGACTTTAAAAGAGAATATTTTAAATACCAATTGGTGTTAGAAAATATAGTAATAGATTGACTTTCTTGATTTTAAAATTTGTGTGTGTTGTTTGCTTTATTTGCTGTACCAAAAAAAGGAAGATCCAAGACTGAAAATTCCACCTCATCTGAGAGGAAAGACATCACTTGATTCTTCCAATGATCTGGGGCCTTTACCTGTAAGTTTATAGAATTGCTAGCAATCTAACTTGGCTCTCTCCAACATTTGTATTTTGGAATACAGTAGTTCTTCAACAAGTTTAAGTAAATTATTATTATTAGTAGTAGTAGTAATTATTATTAGTTATTATTAAAGTGTAATGCCTTCTACTAAGAATGGAATAAGAAAATTAAGCATATAACCAATGTCATTTTTCTACCCATACATCTAAAACCCTTTCCAAAAATAATTGAAATACATTCTTCATTATAGCCAGGATGGGAAGAAAGAACTCATACAGATGGAAGAATCTTCTACATAAATCACAGTATGTGCAATGTGATTTTTCATTATGTTATTTTTTGTAATATTGAACTTTGTGCAGGAGAATAAAGAACACCTATCTCTCTCCCTCTTCAGATATAAAAAGAACACAATGGGAAGATCCTCGGTTGCAGAATGTAGCAATAACTGGACCAGTAAGTCTCTTTATCAGTATGCTCCGATGGCATTGTCCTCTCACCTGTTTTGTCCAGGGTGAATGGTCAAGGGCATAATCCTACAGACCTTGAGAGGAAAGAACATCTGCAATTCTGTCCTCTCCCACCACCCCCATACCAGGTCTCAATAATTTGAAAAGAGTATATGTATAAGCTCATTATCTTGACCTTTGCAATAGCCTCATGAGACTAGTGAGCCCCATAGTCAAATGCCAAGGCACTGGGCTGCTGGGCTCAGCTGGTACTTGCCATTGCCTGAGAAAGAATGTTGGCAATCCTCAGCAAATCACAGAGGGGCCAAGAATGTACCAGGTGAGAAAGTAGATGGCACGCAGTCAACTCCAGGGGCATGCTTGAACTTTTTGGTAGAAATTTCTATAAATGCTGGTGTATAAAATACTCATATTTAAGTATAAATATAATGTATGTTTATACTTCCTTTGAGTCAGGTTAAGTATAGGAAAAATAATTTTCTTCTTTATGTAGCTACTTGTTCTGTATTTTGTTTTTGAGATTTTGTTTTCTAATTCACAAAAATAAGTGAAATTAAAAATCCAGTTTTTTTAGACTATTCTTTAGTCTCCATGTTTAGTCTTTTAAAATAATGGGTAAAAAAGGCAATTCCTCAGAGTTCAAGGAAAAAGTGCATTTTTCAAATTGTTCCCTTAATGGAGAAATCACTTTGAAAGTCTGTTTAGAAATGGAAATTTTCATTTCTAATATTTCTCTGCTTGGAAGAAATTTCCTGTTTCTGGCTTTTTGCATTTCAAGAATATTGCATGATGAAAATTACAGTCATGGGAATTGCTGAATACAATTTAATTTTAAACAGAGAAATTAAAAATTTTAAAGTTTTGTGTTTGTTTTCCTTCAAATTAAACTTTTCTTTCCAAATATTCTCTTTTAATGCCTTTAACTTATGTTCATAAAATACCCAGAGGGGAACTTTTAAAATTGTTCCAGAATAAAAACAACCTAAACCTTCTTTATTTTTCCAAAATTTTCAACTCAAGGCAGTGCCCTACTCCAGGGATTACAAAAGAAAGTATGAGTTCTTCCGACGAAAGTTGAAGAAGCAGGTTAGTTATATTTACGTTGAGTTCTTAGGAATGATTGTTATGTAGACTGAAAGTGTGGGAAATGAATTTTTAAAAGTAATGGAGAATTTCTCCTGTATTTTAACAACTTTGAATAGTTCCTTATAGGGAAAGGTGTTTTGTTTTGTTTTGTTTTGTTTTGACTACTGGATGTTACATATCATTAGAGACCACAGTTAGGTCGTGTCTTTCCTTGTTTTTCAACCTTATGCTATATAGAAAAATAGTATTAAAGTTTGCTTTTAATGCGTTCTGACCTGGTTTCCTAGTGGGGTTTGTGGAGCTTGGGCTTGGTGGAATCTGAGCAAACTCAGCTTATTCAACCCAGCCTCATCCCTGATTGTGTAGGATTCTCTGGATTCCTCTTCTGCGTGGACTCTTGTTTTCCAGTGGTAGTTATTCATGCTCCAACGCTTTTATAACATATCTCTGCCTAATTTGAAAATATGACTGTAATTGAAACAGTGCGCCTGTGTTTGTCTCCTTCTGCTTCTCAGATGTGTTCACTATAGTTTTTTTTTCCCATCACCACAAATTTAATATTTGGAATTAAACTCATCATCTGCCCATCTATTTCATTTCTTTCAGTGATGACCACTTGGTGATGCCTTTCTAATTGGCGCACACTTTCCTCCTTTCCCCGCAGTTTAGGAATACTACCACTAGGTGGCTATATTGGGTTACACTTTCTTGTGTTCTAAGCCGGAAGCAGGCTTTTCCAAAGATTCAAGATGGTGGGTCTGCTACCACAGAATATTTTCATCCAAAATTTAACAGAAAATAAAATACAGTTTTTTAGTGCAAATATTTTGTACCTTAATGAAAACCTAAACTATCAGCCACTTTTTAAACTCATCTTCAATAATAGCTTTGTGTTAAAATTGCTCTGGAAATCGGTTTTCTACTTCTTAAAGTTCTTTGGGATTTTAAGACTTTGCTGATCTATTTATTGGTCTGGTAAATATTTTCACTCTTAATGAAAATATGCTGGTGGAATAGAAGCACTAGCTTCTCCGTTTGCCATTCTGAACAGTTACACACATTATAATATGTAATTGTTGATGTCTTCCCGGCGGGAGGAGATATGAAACAAAGCCTTCAGAGCACACAGAAACCACCATGAAAGCAGTAATAGTTATTGAGTTCTCACTGTGAACCAGACATTCTTCTTAGCAAGCTACACGTATTCATGTAATCTCTGTATTAGCTAAGGAGGGAACTGTTATTACCACCTTCTATAGGTGAGGGTCCGAGGCACAGAGAGATTAGGTAATGTGATAGACTCCCATGGTTATTAGTGGCAAAGCCAGACAGGTGGTCTAGCTTCAGAGTCCATGTTCTTAACCAAAAAGACGTATATTGATGATTAAGAGAGAAACTGACCCAGAATGGAACAAAGGTATATAAAGAGAAAAAAACATGAAGTAATGTTTAAGAAATATGGCGTTGCTCCAGAGAGAGCAAACTCAGGAGTATGGGGAAGAGGGTAAGAACCTGCATCCTTAGTTTATCAAAAAGTCCCTAGTAGGATTTAAAAAAAAAAAAAAAATCCATATCTAGACACATTACAGCAAAAGAGCAGAACACCAAGACAGAATTAAAAACGTTTAAAAATCATTGCTACAAAGTCTTGAGTTGTCTTTGACCTTTTTCTCTGCCTTGTCTGTAGTATTTCATTCGTGAGGAATAAAGAGGGCTAATCCTTATGGAGCTCACCGTGTGCCAGATACAGAGGAAGCACATGAAATGCATTCTCCCCTGACGTACTGAAACAGCGCCAGGGGGCGACTATTATTACTGTCCCAATTTACAGATGAGGAAATTAAGCCTTAGAAAAGACACGTTAGTGGGGAGGCGCTGGGATCCGAACACAGGGCTCCTGACCCCAGAATCCACACCCTGGGCCACTATTCAGCCCAAACATGGAAGTCGCTTCTTCTGCCCTCTGCCTCTTCCATTGCTATTCCTCTCTTTAAGGTCTCTTTCAGGGTCTTTGACCAGCCTGCCTCTTGTTTCTCTTTAAAACCACCTGTTAGTCAATCCCCAGGAACAATCTGACCCTGCGGCTCCTGCTCAGCTGCTCTTCCCAGTCAGCATCCACGCTCCCTCCCCTCTGGCCCCAGACCACTCTCCCAGCTCCTCCAGTGGCTGCAACCCCTTCCCTCCCTCCGCACCCCGCGGCCCTGCACTCTCTTCCCTTAGCCTGCTGCTCCTCAGTCCTTCCCTGTCTCTCCCTCAAGTCAGGACTTGTTCTTAAAGCCCCCTGGATCACCTCTCTTGCAGTTACTAGCTCAGTCTTTTAGGCCCCACAGAACATTGCTTATAGCTTATTACTGGCAATTTTGTTACACTTGTAAGTCTCAGGATTGGTAATATTTACATTTGTTTCTCATCCACACACTGGATTATAAACTCCTTGAGGGAGGAATCATATCTTAAACCACATTTTTACTCCCTTTTCTTCCCATCCCCATTACTGTAGCTCCCTAGCATGGAGCCTGGGCCAGACCATGTCCTGGTAAATGCTTGGCTGCCCGGGATACCTAGTGTCTAGACTGCAGTTGGTTTTCTCTGATCTTGGCTTTATTTACAATTACATAAGCAACAGAGGAAACTGCTTATATTGCTTATAAAAACTGTTTATGTTATCATGTTTCTGTAGGGCTTTCCATTTTCCCTAAATATACTAAGAATGCAATTGACATTTTTTTTCTTAGAAGGAAACCTCTCCTCTTTTTTTGAAGTGACAGAATTTTCTCTTACTGGTTTCCACTTGAACATTGCACACAAAGCACTCAAGAATAAAATATTCAGACATCTTTTATAAAATTTACAATATGATCTGTCTAAAAGTGTAGTTATCTGCATTTGTCACATAAGCAAAGGATGTGCAAAAAACATCGAGACAGCAGAGACTGAGAGCTCAGACTTCCTTAACTTTCGTCTTCACTTTCTTCACTCATAAAATGAGATTATATTGGTCGTTTCTTCCTCGCGTTGTTATGAGGAGTAAATGAGTTAACCTATTAAAATGTTGGGAATAGTGCCTGATACAGTCTGTAAATGTTAGTGCCTATAAATGAGCGCAGCAGGGTGGGCTCCAAGGAGGAAAGGTAGAGGTCGGAAAACCCCTGAACCCACAGGCAGACAAGAGAGCAGGCACTGGTTGGACTGTAGAGCACGGGATGGTCTTCCCTGGAACTTAATCTGGAAAGGACTGTTCATGCAGTGCCTTCATGTGAACATTATTGCCACTATCAATAACTGCTTCTTCCAGTATAGAAATCAGAAGCCTATATTATTATATGATTAGAGAAAAGGCATGAATTCTTTTATGCCATAGAGGAAATAATAGACAACATCCCTAGTTACATTTTCCCCCAAAAAAGGGTCTTGGGCACGGGGTAGAAGATGACGGTTTTTATGACTTTCTGGAGAAACAAATTTGCCTTCATGTCGAATTGATTTAAACCATAAGTCCCTCTTCTCTGGGTTTTCAGAATGACATTCCAAACAAATTTGAGATGAAACTTCGCCGTGCAACTGTCCTTGAGGACTCTTACAGGAGAATTATGGGTGTCAAGAGAGCAGATTTTCTCAAGGCTCGACTGTGGATCGAGTTCGATGGTGAAAAGGGATTGGATTATGGAGGAGTCGCCAGAGAATGGTTCTTCCTGATCTCAAAGGAAATGTTTAACCCTTATTATGGGTTGTTTGAATATTCTGCTACGTAAGTGTTTTTACAATGACTACACACAGAAAGATAAAGTCGCTGTTTTGAAAGTAACAAAGCTTCATATGAAGCAAGGAAACTGTACACTCCAGTGTGCCAGAAAAGGGAGACGATAACTAATGTTGTTTCAAAAATAACCTTTAAAAAATTGTGGTAAAATATGCGTAACATAAAATTTACCATTTTAGCCATTTTAAGCCAGCGGCATTCAGTACCTTCATACTGTTGTGCAATTGCCCCCACCGTCCATCTCCAGAACTCTTTCATCATCAACCGAAACAGTACTCATGAAACACTAACTCCCGTCCTCCCTGTCATTCACCGTTCCGTCTTCTGTCTCTGTGAATCTGACCACGCTAGGTACCTTGTATCAGTAGAATCCTATAGGATTTTTCCTTTTGTAACTGACTTATTTCATTAGCATAATGTCCTCAAGGTTCCTCCATGGCACAGCAGATGTCAGAATTGTCTTCCTTTCTGAGGCTGAGTAATACCCCATTGTGTAAAGGGACACCCCGTTTTGTATATCCATTCATCTGTTGTCAAACACCTGGGTTGTTTCCACCTTTTGGCAGAAATGACTGTTTTTAAAACCATTAAATGCACTGGTCTCATGTGGTTCTAATAGAGGTAAAAACTCCAGGAAGAGGGAGCTAATTTGTAATTTTGTCATATTAAAATTTTTATATGAAATGTGGAGAGGAGCATTTAAATGTGGTTGTCTTTACAGGGATAATTATACCCTACAGATAAATCCAAACTCCGGATTGTGTAATGAGGATCACCTCTCCTACTTCAAGTTTATTGGCCGGGTAGCTGGGATGGCAGTTTATCACGGCAAACTGTTGGATGGTTAGTATTAAGCATAAAACATTTTTTTAAGTATAATCTTACTTCTTCCAATTGGTAATAATTTTCAATATGTTTGATTTTTTTGAAAGGTTTTTTCATCCGCCCATTTTACAAGATGATGCTACACAAACCAATAACACTTCATGATATGGAATCAGTGGTATGTCTTTTTCACTCGCAATGTAGAGAAAGCACAATTTAAGAAGCAACTGGATATTTTAAAGTTAGAATTTGATGATGAAAAAATAAATAAATGATAATGTTCCAAAATACAAATGGATATTTCCCCCAACATTCAAATAAGAAAATTTTCTAACATAATAAAATTTTGAAAATTTTACAGTGGACATACGTGTAACCACCACCAAGATTCCATACTCAGGTTTCTTTCTGTACTTACTTTATTACCTACCTATCCATCAGTCCACCCGTGTGTCCATCAATCCATCTTTTTTTTTTTTATGCACTTCAAAGAATATTACAGATATCAGTAAACTTCTCCCTAATTACTTCAGTGTGCTATCAACATTTGGATTGTGATCTTTTATGATGAATGGCATATGTTTTCAAAATGACCGTCCAAAAGCGAGGCCTTGTGGTTAGGCCACTACAAAGAAACGGAAACCTAAGAATTAAATCCCAGGCTATAGCTTTGCTGTGTAAACTGAAAAGCCTCATGTGTTGTATGTACACATGGATTCCAAGCTATCTTCCTGGGGACCAAGGACATTCTTTATTCCTTCCTTGTGACATTATCCAGGTGGACAGTATAATTCCTTATGAATTATAAGATTTCACAGTTATTTGAGTTGGTTAATGGAGGTTCTGTATTTAATTTGAGATTTTTCTTTAACTTGGGCCAGGTATAAATAACCACCTGCTCATAGTTACTTGAACATTTTATACCCAGTCTTAACAGGCTGTACGAGAAAGGCTCTAGGTACTCTGGGCATCCGTGGGAGTTAGGATTCATCTGGAAACTACTTTAGTTGACCCTTCAACTGGGTAACAAAATCTGTATACCTCCACTGCCTCTATACAGAGCTAGGTTTCCAAACTGTTGTGCAAGCCCCACTCCCCTGATTTATGCACTTTTACTCACACTTACTAGTCATCCTGCTCTTTTTATAATGCTTGTGTGTATATAAGAAAAGACGTCCTACTACTTTTCATCTTTGGTCCAAGTGTTCAGACTCTGAGCATATTTTCTTTGCAGGTTCAGGTGTCTTTTTGTGTACAGATTTTAAATATGCCATTTCCTCATCTAGGATAGTGAGTATTACAATTCGCTGAGATGGATTCTTGAAAATGATCCAACAGAATTGGACCTCAGGTTTGTCATAGATGAAGAGCTTTTTGGACAGGTTCGTAAACTTTGATTAATTAAAATGATACATAAATTGTGAAACAAACATTCTAACTTAAGTTTAGAAGTTAAATAATGCATATCCTCGACACAGTTCTGTGCTCTATTTTTAAATTTATGTTCCAGTAACAAAAGCTGTCTCAGCAAGAATTTCTGCTTCCCTTGACATTTGACTCATTCCATGTTTATTTTAGTAAAACTAATATTTTAAATTTTCTTAGCTTGTGAATGGATTTAATTTAAAACACTGGGTTTCTGGTGTAACTATAATACATATATTTTTTTTTTTTTCACTAAAATAACATATCAAGATATCATGCTTAATTTTAGACACATCAACATGAGTTGAAAATTGGTGGATCAGAAATAGTTGTCACCAATAAGAACAAAAAGGAATATATTTAGTAAGTATTTTGTTAGTAAGTATTTTATTACGTTTAGTATATACTTCACTGGAAATAATTTTGTCGTTCTTTCTGGGAAGACTCTGTGTACCTCCTTTCTCTTTCTTCATAGCCAGAGTCTTAATGTTCTTTTTTCTCTTTCTTTAACAATGCCATATTACCCACTTATATTCACTTTTTGCCTGGGCCTTACCTAGTCTTTATTTTTTGTTTCCAACTGGAATAAATAGACCTTAATTTTTTTTCTTCACTCATGTGAAAAAGATGAATATTTTGTCTCTTTTTAGTCTTGTAATTCAGTGGCGATTTGTAAACCGAATCCAGAAGCAAATGGCCGCCTTTAAAGAGGTATTCATTTACTTTTGTTCATTCTTCTATCATTTCAAAGTACAAGTCATACGTTTCAAGTATTGGGGTTCATCATATCTGAGAATTAATAAATGACTTGCTTTTTAAAACAACTTTTAATTATATGTTTTTAAAAATTCGTTTATTTGTGACAGAGAGAGATGAAGAGAGAGCACAAGCAGGGAGAGCAGGAGGCAGTAGGAGAGAAGCAGGCTTCCCACTGAGCAGGGAGGCTGATGTGGGGCTCGATCCCAGGACTCTGGGATCATGACCTGAGCCAAAGTCGGACACAACCTACTAAGCCACCCAGGCATCCCTATATTTTTATAGTAAAAAAATATTTAAGTGAATAAGTGTTCGCTGTTAAAACTCAGTCATCCACGAGGCCCATACCGTTAATGTTGATGCTCCCCCTTCCCACCGGTCCCTGCTCCTCAGCTTTTCCCAGTCATGTCTCCTCCATCTTAAGTAACCTCAGGTGAACAAGGGTCCCCAGTGCCATAGGGAGAGTGGAATAGGCCATTTATTTTCCCGCATGGGATCACACTATACATGCTGGTTTGTGACTTGGTTTCTTCTCTCTCTTTTTTTTTATTAATCATTTTTTTAAAATTTATTTTCAGCATAACAGTATTCATTGTTTTTGTACCACACCCAGTGCTCCATACAATGCGTGCCCTCTCTAATACCCACCACCTGGTTCCCCCAACCTCCCACCCCCCCACCTCTTCAAACCCTTCAGATTGTTTTTCAGAGTCCATAGTCTCTCATTGTTCACCTCCCTTTCCAATTTCTCCCAACTCCCTTCTCCTAACTCCCCATGTCCTCCATGCTATTTGTTATACTCCACAAATAAGTGAAACCATATGATAATTGACTCTCTCTGCTTGACTTATTTCACTCAGCATAATCTCTTCCAGTCCCATCCATGTTTGGTTTCTTCTCTTATCGAACATTTATTGGAGAACTTCACACATCAAGTTTCATAACTGTCCTTCCATGTGGCTGCATTTTATTCAGAATATAAACTCATAAGTTCTTTAAACTTCCCCCGTTGGTGGACATTTAGGCTATGGCCAGTTCACTCATTTCTTCTAAAATCTTCTGTTCAGTATTTATCACGTACTTTTTCATTTATTCGGTATTGAGCACTTGCTACGGATATGGTGCTACGCAAGGCAGAAAGACATGAGTCCTGCTCTAGGGAGCAGAAAAATCCAAAGAGTGACACGGACAGAGGCAGGCATGAAGTGCATGGTAAGCACAGAGGAGAAATGGAAACCCGGGCAGGGAGAGGTACAGGAAGGGCCAGGGAAGGTCTGGAGGGACTGGCCAGCTACACGGAAGAGGGCCGTGCAGTTTAAAGTGCCAGAGGTCAAACTGAGCTGAAGGGTGAGCAGAACCAAATTAAGAAGGGCCTGTGTGCTAAACTGGAAACAAAATGGAATTTGGGGTTTTTGCAGACGTCCAGTGAGGGGGAAAAAAGGTAACAATAATATACGAGGACTCAGTTTACACTTTAGTCAGATCATCCTGGAAATGGTGTGTAGTGAGTGAGTGGTACACAAGACTAGCAGCTGGGCTGGGCCGGAAGGAGCTACAGCGATCCAGGTGAGGAAAGGTCAGGGCAGGAACGAAGGTGGTGGTGGTGGGAAGACAGCTGTGTGTATCTGAATGGGATTCAGCAGGGAGAACTGTAGCTCAGGGTGCTTTAAGGGCTAGAGACCGGTGGGGAGGGGCAGCATGGATTTGGGGATCATCTGCCTATGTGTACTGGAGACGTGGACTCAGTAAGAAGGGAAATTGGAAAGAGTGGTAAGGACAGGAAAGTGGATGACCACTATGAAGATGTGGGAGCACCAACATGGAAGGAACAGATGGTAGAAAAGGAGACGTCAAAGGAAATCAGCCAGTGCAGACAGAGACACAAGAGAGAAACCATCGGCAGCAGACGAAGTTTCAAGAACGGCCGTGTTTTTAGCAATCTCATAGTGCGGAGAAGTCAGATGGGATACAGAACTAGACAGTGTTGATCAGAGTTCGCCGCAAAGCTGTCTTTGCCTTTTTCCAGGACAGCTTGAGGGCAGCAAGGGCACAGAGGGCAGATGGCAGAGGGTGGAGGCAGAGACAGGCCGGCAGGTGGGGTTTGGTCAGGAGTAATAACAGCAGTGAAGAGAAGAAAGACAGGTTTACTTTTTTGTTTTGTTTTTAAGGTAGATAGGCTTAAACAAATGTAAATGTAGAAAGAGCGAGCTAGGAAAGAGAAGGAGGTTCAGTGAGATGAGCCCCTTGGAGAAGTAGATAAAGCACAGAGAGAAAATGGCCCCTGTCCCCACTGCCGTGGACAGGAGACCACAATGGACGTCGCTGCCAGCTGGTACTCGAGCATGCAAAAGGTTGAGGGAATTCCATCATCTCCTCTATTTCTCTCTCAAGTAAAAGTTATCTGCTGTAAAGAAGGGATGACACAGAGGAGGAGGAAATGGCTGGGGAAATGCTGAGAGGTTTCAAAATGGCCGAATTGAGGAATCGGTGGGAGAGAACAGATTATGGACACATACACGTTCTTGCCGATATTGAACTCTCGGTTGACCTAAGAACCCATGACTGTGGTGGTAGGAATCTGTGTTCATGTGGGATTTCTCCAGCAGCACCCAGAAGCTGACATACAGGGCTGTCGAGAGCTTCTGCTAACCAGGTTTTTGTTTGTTTTTTTTTTTTAAGATTTTATTTATTTGACAGCGAGAGATCATAAGTAGACAGAGACGCGGGGGCGGGGGGAGCAGGCTCCCTGCTGAGCAGAGAGCCCGCTGGATCCCAGGACCCTGGGATCATGACCCGAGCTGAAGGCAGAGGCTTTAACCCACTGAGCCACCCAGGCGCCCTGCTAACCAGGTTTTTAAATACACTCTTTCCGCTAGGGATTTTTTGAACTAATACCACAGGATCTCATCAAAATTTTCGATGAAAACGAACTAGAGGTAAGAAATACTCTTATTTTCAAATGGGATTTTTGTGCCCATAATTTTTCTTGTTTACAGTTTGACATTTCTTACTGTGTAGCTTCTTATGTGTGGATTGGGAGATGTCGATGTGAATGACTGGAGAGAACACACGAAGTATAAGAACGGCTACAGCGTGAATCACCAAGTCATACAGTGGTTTTGGAAGGTAATTGAAAGCTTCTATGTCTGTAAATCTCTTTTCAACAGATTCGATCATACTTAACCATACTAGTGCACTGCATAGAGATAAGACAAAAAGTAACGTTGTACTGTATATGTCTACCTTCTGGGTATGGCTCCAACCTCCATACGTATTTATAGATAAGTTACTGTTCAGAAAGTAGCAAATGGTGGGAACAGCCACAGTGGGCACTCAGCCCCTTACCAACGTGTAAACTGTTGGAGAGAACTTGCAGTAACCTGTGGTGTGTTCCCCAGGACTCCTGCACAGCTCCTTAAATGTGACTTTCCGTCTAATCGAGAAATGTGTATGTCACTCAATAATATCAGGAAATATAATTTTTAAAAAGCCACGAGTCACATCCAGGAAGATATTTTGGTCACTTTATTAGGCTATGACCTCATTCTAGAGAGTTCCCATATAGCCTCAGAAATGAAGTTTTCAGGGACTTTGTAAGCCACCCAGAAACACAAATTTAACTCACAGACACATGTACATGTAATAACTGATCGTTAAAACTCTAAATTCTGATATCATATTTTCCAGGATAGTTCTGTTACTTTTCTCCCCAGTGATATTCCTTAATGCTGCTTTTCTCTTACTCAGGCTGTACTAATGATGGATTCAGAAAAAAGAATAAGATTACTTCAGTTCGTCACTGGCACCTCTCGAGTGCCCATGAATGGATTTGCTGAACTATATGGTAAGGTTTTCAACCATCATTAAAAAAATGGAGTGATGCCACTTGTCTTTTTCATTGATGATTAGTTGTCAAGCTTCTGTCATTTAAACAAACACCAAGCTTAGTAAAAAAAAGAACTGAGATTTTTAAATGATTGAATTAGATACATGAAGTAGGCCAGAATATATGTACATCTTGTAATTGGTTATGAGAGGAAAAAACATGAAATGGCTTGAGTTACTTTCCATTCTTGAATTTTAAATTTGATTCCCACTACATATCCCATCACGGAAAAAGCATTGTCAGTAGGGTGATGGTTTAGGGCAACAGGCAACATCCCACAGAATGTTAGTAAGTGTACAACAGAAAACAAAAGTAGTTCTGTAGTAGAAAACGTTTAGGGCAAATACCAGACTAAACAAAATTGAGTAGATTTCTTTGGGACTTATTCAGAACCTTTACTATGAGAAAAAAGTAGGGGGGGGGGGTTCCAAAACTTATTTGATCATGGACTCTGTACGTATATGTGAGTGCGTGTGTGTGTGTGTGTGTGGTGTGTGAGACTGGAGACAAGACATATCTTTCAATATTCAGAATAGTTAGTATTAATGCAGTTTTCTATAAAGTGAAATTGGGCATATCCTAGCAAATTGTTCTCCAGTGGATATATCTCATAGCACTAGAGGTGTGTTTTGTAAAAAAAAAAAAAAGAAGAAGAAGAAAGAAAAAAAAAAACCCTGCAGTTTCTGATGTAGATCAACTCAAATCAGTTAATATCTTGTACTGGAATGACATCTACTTGCTTTTCAAGCTACTACAAAGAACAAATCTTTCAGGGAAGGCACAGCTCAGGTTGGAGCCCCACACAGGTTGGAGCCAGGAGCTAGCAGTCCCAGCTGTTTCCTCAGTAGCTGCTGAGCTGAATTTTTCCCGCACGGAGAAAGCTGTTGCTGTCTGGTGGGATCGTTAGCCTTGTCGGTCTCCTTGGCAAACCTGGTCTTCTTAAGCTTCATGCATATTTTGCAGAATATGTAAAATATGTCAAGCAGCTGCCACCTCCCACCTAGAGTCACCACGCACAGTGAGAAGAACGAGACAGGAGCTCTGCCCTAACCCACGCACCCCTTCTTGCCTAATTGTATTTCTTTGCATTTGTCTTTTCAGTGGTTTTCCATGACTTCCCCTTCCTTTCGCTTCTCCTATATTTTAGCCAGTTACAGTGAAGAAAGTTCAAGGCAGGCCAGACAGCCCTTTCCATGTCTAGCTCCACATCCTTCTAAGCAGTCCAGGCCTATGGCCATCCACTGACTGCATGAATCATTTGGAATTTGGGGGAAATACCCCAGACACAGAGCCAGAGGTGGCAGTATTAGAATATACTTCAAATTCTTACGCATTTTCAAAACAAAGTTGTTTCAAAATGTTAATATTATAATACAGTATTATCTAGCCAATAAAAAGTGTGTAAGGTTTGTATCAGTTGACTTAAAGGAAGTTTTCATAATGGATCATGTAGGTGAGTGAATCAAGGGGCAGGGAAACATATATGATCCCATGTTTGGGAAACAATGACAAAAATACTGAAATTTTAACTGTGAGCATAATTATGATGTGTGATGTGTGAAAAGCAAAGTTTTTGAGAAAACTGTAATATTGAGAATATCCAGGATATTTAGTGCTGCTTCTGGCAATTACACTCCCATACATAATCAGATATGATTATAAGACTTGGGGAAAAGGATGGAAGGTTCTACATCAGGTTGTCAGCACCGATTACCGGGGTGGTTGGAGAATGTTGAGAATTGGGGGAAGGAAGAGGTAAGTGAAAACTCCGAAGGAAAAAAAGAGCCTCTGAAAGTGTCCGTAATAAAAGAAAAATGTAGCATGGATAACATGATCACCTATGCATAAAATTCCGTATATATGCACATGCACAAGACGATTCACAATAGAATGTTTACTCAGATTTAATAGTGGACTGTGAGGTGATTTTTATACCCTTCAGTATATTTTTCTCTATTGCTTTAATTTTCTTGCAGTGAGATTAGATAATCAGAAAACAAAATTAAGGCTATTTTCAGTGGGACTGAAGAAAGAAAGAAATTCCTCATTTTCTCTGTGTACCTATGAAGGAAGTGGTCACAGGGAAACACAGGGCTAGGAAACAGCAGAAGCCCACCAGCGGAGTGAGAGGGTGGCCACAGATGAGCCGAAGGAGAGGAACCTTCCATCTCGTGGCTGGACAATGAAGCCATCAAGGACAGGACAGCCTTCATTTCTTTTGAGTTTAAAGCAACTAGATTGGTTCTCTGTACGTTTGAGTTCTACATTCGAAAAAATGAGTTGTGAAATTCTAGGGATTCCTATAAAGAGTAAATGAGAGCCCAGCAACTCTTCTTCCTTACAGGCTCAAATGGACCACAGTCATTTACAGTTGAACAGTGGGGTACCCCGGAAAAGCTGCCCAGAGCCCACACGTGGTAAGCAGTTTTTTCAACCCTTAGAGAATAAGTTTTCAGAGAGTGAAACTCCTCTAACAGAGTCTAGGTACAGAAGGTCTAGCTTGCTCTGTGTTGTGTCAGTGACAGCGATGGAGGAGTGGGGGGAGAGGAGGCAGAAACAGCAATGCAGGAGCAGGTGTGTCTTCGCCAGGCAGGCATGGACTCGAAATCCAGGTAGCTGAACAGCTGAGCGGCTCATCTCAACTGTTGACCATGCATTGTCCTCCATCACATGAAGGGGCCATCCCAAGAGAAGCTAGAACATTCCCTCTTGAAGGTTAAGATAACAGAGGACCCCAGGCATTTGGAGGTCAAGGTGGGAGTGAGGGGACCCCACCAAGAAGTCATGGGATGAGCCCATGCGTAGAGCCCAGTGCTGTTGCCTGCCTTCTCCACTGGCGATATAATGCCTTCCAGTGTTGTAGGCGGAGCACATCAGGAATAGCAGCGGTCCTGTTGGCCATCATGCCACTTGCTTTGTCAGTGTCTGTCATAACAGGTTCTCTCTGTTCTTTCAGCTTTAACCGCTTGGACTTGCCGCCCTATGAATCTTTTGAAGAATTATGGGATAAACTTCAGATGGCAATTGAGAACACTCAGGGCTTTGATGGCGTCGATTAGATTCCAAATAACAATCTAGAGTGTTTCACTGCCGCTTTTGGATAAGCAAAATCTTGACTTAAAATTTTCCAGGGAACTACTAAAACTTGGCCTTTGTTTCTTCCCAGATAGTGGAGAAAAATCACATAAAAGCATTAGAAGAAACAGTATGACAACCTTCCCGTTATTTCATTCACTCTTAAACAATATGTTGCATTTACACAGCTGTTTCTTTCCATCTTTAGAGTTCCCACTCTAGGATTTAAGTCCCATTAAGGCACTATTAAGTGCCTGAAATAGTGAGTTTTGTCCTTAATATTTACCTCTTTTACAGTATTTGCCAGGCAGTTCTTTCTTAAACTACTGAAATTGTAACTGTGAAATATTTGTGACAAGTGTCATGTGTGAAACGTTGGTTTTTGAGAGGGAAAACTGAAATTTGGAGAAGAATACTTGGACATTGATTAAACTACCATGTATTTCGTGCTGCCTACAGCTATTTATTATTTTGTAGACCTGCCTATTGCACCTTACTGCCAAGATTTTTGGGAAAAAAACTTGGAAAGTGTGTTACCTATCTTTTTAGTCCACTGACTCACTTGCAAAAACAAACAAAAAAAATTGTTTACTTCTTCATTTTTAAAAGTATTTGGCTTTTGTTAATATGTAGCTTTAGTAAACAAGGTGGGTTATAAGACATGTGAAGCGAATTCAGATTCACAAAGCGTGAAAAGTGTTAATGTCTTCCTCTTGCCTGTATATCCTTTTGGTTCACTGGCATAGTCCTCTCTCCTTCCTGTTTAAGGTAAAAGAATTCCTTCTTCAGACATTATGCCAAAGCTCTGCAGAGCAGTATTTCTATATATGCCTTGAGGAACTAAGTTAAATGTGTAGTACTTGCCTTTACTAGTCATTCTTTACACTTGCACAATTATGTAGTAAATACATGTTTACAGGGTTTATTATGTTTACAGATTAAGCTAATTTCTGTAGTTGCGTTTTTATATTTTTAGTATCTCTTTAGTAAAAAAAAGACAAAAAACAAATAATTTGTTAAAAATAACCAAAGAGTAGTTATAATGTGTAATTTGTATTAAATTTATTACCATATTTCTTATGCTTTTTGAAAATACTGTTTACTATGAACACGATGTTTTGCTATAAATCCAAAACTCTTTAGAAAAATGCTACAAGTAGAATCCTACTTGAACCAAATTGAAATACATAAAAATCACATGCAGGCATTCAGCAAATGTGTGCTGGATGCCTGCTGTGCGCCTAGCCCTGCACGAGGCCCTGGGGTAAGAGCTGTCAGCTTCAAAGAAATCTAGCTCAGTCCTTACCTCAAGGAACTTACGGTCCTGTAAATTAATTTGTAAACAATCAAAAGTAGGGGTAAGCAGAAAGAGGCAAAAGGAAAGGTGTCCCGTGCACATGCACAGATAAAGTGTGCCAAGACTTGTATTTATATGTTTCATGCATATATTAGAATGATGACATAGAAAATGCTCTTGCAAAAAGTTAAAACTGTTTCTCAATATGGTGTTTTGGCGATTTAGGAATAATTGTAAATATATGTTATCAATCTTCTTATATACATGTGTATACTCGGAGAGTTGTAAAAAGTGCTTCTGGCTATTGGTTTAAGTTTGTGGGTGTAACACCATGGGTACCTATAGACACCTGCTAAAGATCTCAAGTGGGACAGCAGCAGAACCACTTTCCAAACACCACATCTCCAGCACGGCCTAGGGAAAGTAATTGACAGATGAGTGCACCCTGTGTTTTACCTTCACCTGTGTTAACCAGCATTCAGGCAAGGCCACCAGATACAGTACTAGTTTTATCACTTACCAACTGTTGAAACTGAAGCAACTTCCTTAACCTCTCTGGGCACCTGTTCTTTCACCTGTCAAACAGGAACAATCACGCCCACCCTCGTTGTCAGGGAAGCTTGTTATAAGTTCCAGAGAGATGCTTTGTAAAGTATGATACAATCAGAAGATGCTTTGTGCTATCCATCAGATTTTGTCAAATCAGGTATGCACACTAGCTACACTCCCAAAAAGAATCTCTTCGTTTAAAAATAAAATGTCTGCTGATAGACAAAAAAATAGGAACATCTCTGATATTGAATATGTGTGTGTGTGTGTGTGTGTGTGTGTGTGTTTATAGATACTATCAGAATTCATCTTCTCCACATCAGCAAAGTAATATGGGCCAATGCATTTTGAAATGTCCTCATTATAGAGAACTTAATGTGAAAACTGTTTTTGTTCAGACAGGATCTTAACCACGTAATTGTTTAAGTGTCATTTCTGTGAAATAGCAGAGCAGATCAGAGCTCAAGGCAAAATAAAGCTTGCTTTTTCAGCTGACTGATACTCACTGGGATGATCCTGTGACTCAGAACAAGGTGTTAATGAAACCAGACACTCCCCCCAGCTCCCAGCCACCGACCGTTCTCCCCTTCGTCTCCAAGTGTGGGCTGGTGGTCTGGATGGAGCCTGTATCAAGCCACACAGCCTCTGATCCCAGATTAAAAAGTGTCTTAAATGCACTCGACAGCTGGAGAGTAAATAGGGTCATTTTCATATAGCAAGGATGTTTTATTTTTCTAGAAATTATAAGCACATAATTTTAGCCTATATTTTCTCTGTAATCAAACTGTAACATAGACATGAAATTGTAAAACAAATGCAATTCATCCTAACCCAAATTTAAATGGTATTTGTTTTCATTTTTTTATTTATAATACTGAAATTATTCCACATAATTATCAAGTTAAACACAATTCATTTTGATTATAAGTCATTTGACATTGTTCTTAAAAATCTTCTCATATGGTGAATATATATCAAGATTAATGTATCAAATTTATTGCATACTTTAAAGTATAAAATCATTTTCAAAAATCTTGATACCACAAATAAAGTTCTATTCTAATAAAAACAAAAACTGTGACTCATTTTTATTTTTGTTTTTTAAAGGTTTTCTCTTTTTAAAGATTTATTTATTGTAGAGAGAGAGAGCATGGGGGCGGGGTGGGGGGCAGGGAGAGAGGGAAAGAGCCAGATGCAGGGCTCAATCTCAGAACCCTGAGATCATGACTTGAGCTAAAGCCCAGTGTCAGTCACTTAACTGACTGTGACACCCAGGAACCCCATGCCAATTCATTTTTAAATAGAAATGTTTCCAGGCCTGTATTCTGGGTGATATCTTCTGATCCGGTCCTTTGCAGCCATGTATGGAAGTCTCAAGACCATCTTGAATTTGTATCTAATGCATCGGCATGATTATAAAGCCATAATCCCAGATAATCTCTGCTTTACGAACAGGTCATATTCCAAATGTCTGGTTGTTTCACTAACAAGTGAAAGATCCAGGAGATCATATAATAACAAAGTTACAAATGGCCTGGATTTCAGACAGGCTATTGCTCCATCAAGAGGCCAGCTTGTAGCCAAATCATTATTTATAAACTTGCTTCTATTAAAGAAGGAGTTCCAAGTACTAATTCAGAAGTAAGTATCTTTTCCTCCTTCCTCTAGGCACCTGGAAGTTTCACAGTTAGAAGGGAATCCCAAACTAATTCAAGCCAGCCCCAGGAAGGTTCCAGCCCCCTGTTTATGTTAAAAATCCAGACCACAGTTTTTAATCCTTGGGAGTCAGCCCACTTACCTCTCCACTTCTGCCCCTTCAGGGCAAACCAGCACCACAGAAATGAGCCCCCACCACACCTCCCTGTCCAGGAAGCCCTTGCTTTGCAGGCCATCAGGGACAGATGCATTCCTCTTTTTTTTTTTTTTTTTAAGATTTTATTTATTTATTTGACAGAGATCACAAGTAGGCAGAGGCAGGCAGAGAATGAGGGGGAAGCAGGCTCCCTGCTGAGCAGAGATCGAGATGCGGGGCTTGATCCCAGGACCCTGAGATCATGACCTGAGCTGAAGGCAGAGGTTTTAACCCACTGAGCCACCCAGGCACCCCTGGACACATTCCTCTTATAAAGGACATTCAACTGAATGTTCGAATCTCAGGGCCTCACTACAAATAAAAGGGCTCAAGTAGACTGGTGTATATTTTTCTTGAAAGTTAAAGATTAACACTAAATTAGCTGCCTGTTTGTTTCTTCCAGTCTCTTCATCTGCCATCCATCCTGTGCGGGCCCTCCATCCCACACCACTGCTTCGTTTCCAGGATGTAAATCTGATCAGGTTGTTCTGCTGAAGGACATCTGAGAGCTCCCCAGGACCAGAAGCCTGAAGCCCAGACCGCTGGCATGAAATGCAAGCTGTCCTCAACTCAGTGTAAGAGCTCCACCTTCCCTCCCAGCCCACCCTGTGCTCCCCCAAACTAGCCCCCTGGCTCTCCAGCCCCTGCTGGCTGTAGCCTCTTCTGCACCTGGGCTTCTGGCATCCTTCACCACAGTCCCCCCACCCCCACCCCCCGCCTCCCCCACTGCCACCCTGTGTGCGCCTGAGAGTCTGTCCTTTCAGACCAGGGAAAGGTGCTGAGGCCCCAGCATTGGACTTAATGCTAGCATGACTACAGACTTCTGGGCAGCTTGAGGACAACCTATCTTGTGTACATTTTTTAAATACGTGCATTTCCCAAAACAAATACCCCATGAATACGGTTTCTGTATACAACCCAGCCCACATATTCTGAGCACCGACAGTGTCCCTGGCCTCGTGGGACAATATGCAGGAAGCTCTGTATGGAGGGGGACATGAGGGACTACATAACTACACCGCAGAGACCGAGCTTGATCGAGATCCTGCTGAGCATGGGGGGCTGCGGTAAACACTTGACATGGATCCCATTGAATCTTCATAAAAACTCTGTGAGTCACGTTTTATAGGCTCAAGAAGGACAAGCAATTCACCTGAGGCCACACAGCTTGTCAGCTCCATGGTTTATGAACCACAACAAAATCAGGAAAGCTATGGGATCCAACAAACAAATTGCCATGCTGTATTAGTTTCCCACTGCGGTGTAACAAATGACCACATACTTACACCTAAAATCAACACCCATTCGTTATCTCAACCCAATAGGTCAGGAAGTCCCCATCGGCTCAGCAGGGGCTCTCTGCTTAGGCTCCTCCAAGGCCAAAATCAAGGTACCACCCAACGGGGTCCTTACATGGTTCCATGATCCCTCAGGTTGTTTCCAGTATCCATTTCCTTGTGGCTATGGGTCTAAGATCCCCATTTTCTTGCTGGCTGTCAGCTGGGGACCACTCTTAACTTCTAGATGCTACCTCCATCTTCAAGCCAGCAGGGAATGGTGTGTGGAATCCTCATGCTTGGGGTCCCCCTGATGTCCCTTTCTGCCACCAGGTGGAGAAAGTTCTCTACTTTTCAAGGCTCCCTTGAAGGAATGAAGCCCACCTGGATAATCTCCCCCTTTTGAAACGGACTGTGCCGTGAGCATAGCACCGTCAGGGAGTGTGAGATCTGCCATTCCCATTGCGGAGACTGGACACCGAACACTTGGAGGATATTACTGGAAATGCTGCCTCCCATACAAGGTAAAGAATAGCCAAAGCTTATGGAGATACAGCTTGAAAAACACTGAAATATATCTAATTTTACAGGGCACAGTTCAGTTTCCCATTCACTACTGATGAAGTACCAGATAGATAAACTGATACCAGTGTCAACTGGAAAGATTCAGCTTCGGCAGCTGGAAATTCACAAATCAGTGTTCTCAGGTAAGACACTGGTTTCCTTTATTTTCAGTGGCATCAGGGTTGGATTGGCCTGAAATTAGATTCAGCTCATCCTGAGGAGACTCCTTATTCTATAAAGAGAAATAAAAATTCATAGTTGATTTGTTTGAAGGGCTGGTATTCCCAGTAAAATCATGTTCAGGATGGTGAGGTAGGTACGAATCAGCACGGAGCTGAGAAGGGAAGAAAGGTGTTCATAGTCCAGAGCTGCTGATCACGGGGGGCTTTTGGTCTCTGGAGAGAAGGGCAGAGGCCTCTGCAGACTCCGTGGTAACCAAAAGGTCCTGAGCGGTCACCCACCT